CAGCCCAGAAACTGCAAATTCTTTATTAAACCGTGTTTAAAGAAGGAAAAAAGCAAACAATCAGGACAAGGGTACCCCTCACAATCTCCACTGAACCACAACAATGGCATTATTTGGGGGGACAGCTGCAAGCCCCCAGCCCCCTCCAGAAAAAAAACTGTCAGTTGCTTTACTCAAAAGCATTGATGGCCCACTTACTTAAAAGCATTCGCCTTTCAATTGGTCACCCACTTGCTTAAAAGCATTCCCCTTTCAATTGGTGGCCCGCTTGCTTAAAAGCATTCCCCTTTCAATTGGTTTCTTTCAAGCTCAAGCCCTCCCTGGCTGAAAGGCACACCCTTTGAATGGCTACTAACGTAATTAGTATTCCAAAAAGTATGCTCAGGAAGAAGTGGTTGCAATACTAACGTAGTGTTCCCTAAAAAGTCTGCTCAGGAAGAAGTGGTTGCAATACTAAAGTAGAATTCCAAAAAGGAAGTGGCTGCAATACTAAAGTAGAATTGGGCCCCAAAATCCTCCATTGTTTGGACCCAAAAGTCAGCCTACAGAATTCTAGTGCCTCCGTTGTTGAGGGGGGGGGGGCCTTTATTAATCAAGTTCCAACATTAGAGAGTTGTTTCCTGGTAAACATGGAATTGATTCCCTATCTGATCTTGATCAGCTTCTCAAACTTCCGCTCAGCGCAAGTCCAACCAGGCAATTTGCCTCTCATCTCAAATCGAGATTCTTCCGCGAAGGCGTGCGCTTCCCTTGGCTTGCCCCCTAGGATTTTCTTCCCACTTTGTCTCTTGTTCAATGAGAACTCCGCTGACTCCCAACAAACCTCGGGGCGTCTTAGACTGCCCTCATTACTTCATTACGATCACAGTCAGCTACTTAGTGGGTCAAAAAGAAACAACCCCATTTTCTGACTTTGATAACCCGGAAACCGTCAAAACTCAGATGCCCAGTGGCCCCTATACACAAAAGGGCATCTTTTTTTTGTTGGTTGACTTTAAAGGGGAACCCCTCCCAAATAAAAGTTGAAAGAAAGGAAAAGCAACCCTCTGGGCAGCTGGGAAAAGAATAATCCCAGATAGACCGACGCCCCTCGACCCGTCTTAGACCGGCCTGGCAAAGGCCCCCATTCGCCGCGAACTGCACCGCCGGCGGGGTGCACGGCTTCAAGCACTCGTAGGTGGCGGGGATCAGCACCTGCGCTTTCGCCATCTTTCGCCCGCGCCCCGGCTGGCGGCTGGGTGTCGGCTCGGATGGTTTGGGTTGGGCACCCTCTATGGCCATGGGTCAAAATCCAAATCGTACCCCAGCGAACATCCCAATCCAACCACCAAAAAAGGGTTCTAACATAGGTGGTGAATTCACCTACCCCAAAATGGGATACCGTTGGTTTTGACAACCACAGACAGCCATATTTCCCCTCAAAACATCACCGCCATCAAGGGAAGCTCAGCGATAACATGGGCCATAAAAGCTGACGTTTAAAACCACAAAGGGAAATCTAGTCCCCTGCTGGAGTTGGGAGGTCCACCAATCCAAACCAAAGGGTTCCCTGAGGGTTAAAACCCTTAGAACATGCTGAAACGGGTTGATGTCCACATTTGTTGCATATGGATACAGCTTTTCTAGCCGCAAAACATCCGCTGCGCCTCGGGATCCTGGTTTTATTGTTGGAGTGAAACTGGCCCTGGTGTGCAACAAACGCGATTCAATCAGATTGGAGACTCATCACGCGGAGCGATGCAGCAAGCAGTTTGTGCCTTTCCTTTCCTACACACTCCAAACACAGAAACGCTCTCTCTGAACAAGGGAGGTCAAGCGAGGTCTCATGGAGTATGAATGTCACCGATTGGATTTCACAGCTCCACCTCTCGGCTCGGATCCCTGCAAAGGCAAGTAAGCGCTTGGAAGTTCAGCCAACTTCGTAAGTAGTTTTGGATACAAGTGAGACAACTGCGGTTCGCCCGATAACCATGGTTACCTGACAAAGTTGGTTGAGCATCCACGTTGTTTGTTGTCGATAGCGAGTCGTCGCTCGGTCCCGGTATCAGAGATATCTGGCAGGTCCACACATTGGAACTCTCCAGATCGCATCTTGGCACAACAAATTCCTCATCCATTCAAGTCAAACCCTCAAATGCCAACATCCAAGTGTGGACTTCAAGGGATCTCTGCACACAAGAAGAATGCCTTCGCGGTGCCGCCGCTGCTACACTATGCTCCTGCTTCATAAAAACCATGTTGATGCTTGATTAATTAAGTAAGCGCCGCACTTATTAAGGGGGTCTTTTTGTAGTGGGGAATGATGGGAGTCCTTTTTCTTCCAGGAAAACTCCCCTGATTCATAGCTGGGGACCCAGTCGTGGCCCCTTGAAACAGTCCCGAGGCTCCCGAGCCTCGGCGCGGCACAGCAGCCGGGCAACGGAGGGGTGGTAGCCATCGTCGCACTGGGCAGTGCACTGGCTGCCGGACTGGATTTCCCCCACCTCCTCCTCGAACAAAACTCGCTTCCGACGGCGAGCCGTGCACGGGGGTGGCTGGCTGGCTTGGATTGGTTCGGTTGGGCCCTGACGAGGGAGGGAAACTTAGTTGCCCTTTACACGAACCAGGGCTTCAAATCCCCAAACCACCCATGAAGAGTTGCCTGAGGCTTGGGTGTTGAAAAACAAGACATGAAAAAGGCTTCGTGTAAGCGAAAACTCCTTGATCAAATCAGGCATCATGGTATGCGTTGCATCAAAGAGAGCATGTATGCAGGTCTCCTCATTGACTGTTGAGGCACCCCGTGCCACGAAGAAACTCATCATCCGGCTCGGTGCAACTTGCAACCGCTAAGATCGTGTTTTTGTTTGATAACTCTCAGAAACCACGGCAGGTTAAGATTGCGAGGAACGCTTTGAAGCTTCTGAACAACGCTTTGTGGTGACATGAGGTGACCTCCAAATGCCAATGTGGTACTCAAAAAACATGAATTCCACGATGAGTTGAGGCAAAGAAGACCATCGACACTGACAATTGCTGATGTAAATGTGTGGGCGTCTTGTGTGGCCAACTGCCCGAACTTGGGCTGTACCCCAAAGAGGATTGTTGCGGACTTGCTCTTGTTGCATGTGTGCCAGTCTTTGTCGCCGAGTGGTCATTGGGGGAAGGCAGACAACCTTTTGGGGCTGTCAACCTATGCGATGGCAACCAGATTGCGAAACACATGTGGGGAAGTATTGCCTTTGACATAACTGGGCTTGCGAATGAGCTGCATTCAGAACTTCAGCGCATGGGAAGTGTGACGAATCCTCTCATAGACATAGTCAATGCCCGAGTCGCCCAGAGCATACGGGTGTGCCTTTCAGGGGACACAACAAAGTGGTTTCCTATTGGTGTTCCATTTTTTTACCAACCCCAAAAGGGGTATCCACGAAAAGCACAACATGTATTATGTTGAAAAACCAACGGCCAATCTCGCCGACATGCCACACCTTTGCCTTTGCAGTGCATCAATAGCAATGATTGTGCGGAATTGCCTCCCCCGGTAAATCAAAGCTTGAAGCTTAAGCTGCGGTCTGGGACGATGTGAATGGCTATCTTAACAAGCACCGACAGCATCAAACAGACACAGTTGTATGTAGGTCACGCTTCATCCCGGGAAAGATTGAGCACACTTCGCACAATGGAACAGTAAGTACGGAACCTTACGTGTCCTCAATAATCTGATGCGCGTGCACCATTAGACTACGTTAGATCCCCGCCAATTCAACATTTTGAATCTCTTCATCAGCAGGTTTGCAGCTTGTACTCCAAATTTAGCCGAGTTGCACAGGTCTGATCTGGAGCATTCCTCGGGGCAAATTTGCCATGCCCGTCAAAAGAGCGAGAGACACCACGCAGTCTCCGAAGCACGGAAAGTACTGCCCCACTGCCAAAAACGCACCAGTCTGTCTGGTGGCTAAGAGCCTCAGGACGAGATGGTGTCCTCCACTGCATTCCGAAGATGTTGAGGCCACGAAGTTTCTAAGTCAAGGACCGCATCTTGAACAACCTTTCAACAGTTGACCATCCCATGTTACCAAAGGCTCTCTTGTACGCCTGTTCTGGCATCTCATGGCAGAATGCAAGCGGCTCCGGCCACTCGCATTCGCTACTTAGAAACCAAGGATGAGACCCAACTGCCAACCAAAAGGCGACACAAGGGAACCGGGAATTCCAACATAGGGGAGCACATGTGCCACACCGAAAGCTGGTAGCCCGATAGAGACCGGCGGCCCGCGGCCCATTCGCCCAGCCGAGCGGCTCGACATCCTCTGGGGCCACGCAAGGGTTGGGGTTGCACTTGAAGGTCGTGGGGTCGAACCTGGTGCAAAGGGAAGCGCCGGGGGGTCTGCACTCTGCAGAAAACAAATATGGAACCAACAAAACAAACACGAAGAACTTATATTGTTGGACAATTCACTTCTGAGCACACAAAAGACTGCTCCTACACCTGAACTGTCTCATGTCTGTCTCCTCCCCTGTTTTGTGGATTTGGAATAGTGGCAATCCGATTCAGCCAAAATCCTCGAAGTGGATTGACCTGGGAGGACCATATTGATCAGAGGCATTGCACTGAAATACACTACAGCTCCATTTCAAGGAAGCCACCCCTGATTAGCACAGTCCTCCAGATATATCCAAACTCGAAATTGCACGAGGTGTGTAAAACAACTTTTGCTGTTCACCACTTCAGTTGCAAAGCCCGGAGTGTCGCCTCCCAGCTTTGTTGCAGCTCAAGGATGTCTCGGAGGGCGTGTAGCCCTCTTGGCATTGGGCTGTGCCTGGGCACATTGAGTGACAGGTCACGTATGCAGTTGGAAAACGCATGCGTCTGGACTTGCTTGAAGAAAAGGTGCCTTTTAACCTTTTGTGGGCACCAATTCGTTACTTTGCACAAAGCCCCGTTGCCTCAACCCGTCATGTCCAAGTCCAAGTGACCTGTCTCAAACGACTGAGCGCTGGACAAACATGGCCGGGGTTCACTCTGCTAGACTCCTCCCGGACCATACGAGTATGTGCACACAAGTGGACTGCGTGCAATGCTCGATGATGTAGACCCGTTTTGGGGAATGGACTCCCTTTTTTCTTCTTCCGGTTGGTTGCATCACTGGCAAGCCCTATTCGCGTCGTTTGAGTCCTGGCAGGCTCCAGCATCGGCTTGGTGCAGCACCTGAAGGGCGAGCTGAGCTGTGGAAACTACCGAAACCAACTAGACCATCTAAACCCATTGGAAACAACTAGGAACCACCAAGTCCCATCCGTGCTTTGTCACTTGGAATTGGATTCCTGGTGACAAGTGGATGGATCAATGTCCCTTTCGATCTAAGCCCATTTCCAGGGATAACTAGGAACATCATAAACATCTAAACCCCATTTCTGGGGATAACTAGGAACCACCAATTGAACTAGGAGCCACCAAGTCCCACGCCTCCTTTGAAACACGTGAATCGGATTCCCGGTGACTTCCGCTCGGCCGGCCTCAGGTGCCTCGCACTGGGGCCGCCCCAAGCTCTCCGGGGGATTCTGCGCCCCGCAGGTTTTGGCACGGGTGCAGGTCCTCGGTGCTCGCGGCGCTTCCATTTCTTCTAAGAAATGGGTAACAGGCCTTTTGAGCATACCCCAACCCAAAAATCATCCTTTTCGTTTTTCTGTTTTTGCTTTTGCAAAATAGCCTGTTTATGTGTTGGGGTATCTCGAAATAGGAGCTGCAAAAAAATGGCGCTCCATTTGGAGACGCTGAGACTATGGAAGATCCAAGAAGGCCTCTGTAAATGGCTGGGTCCTCCAGCAGAGAGGCTAGCACAAGGGTACCCGATGTTTGCTTCTGTTGTCTATTTTAGTACGGGAACCCTCCCCCGAAAGAGGGTAAATCGATGCAACCAGGTCTTACAAAGGGTCCTGGGAGCTTCCATCATCAAGCGTAGCATTGAAAGAGTTCAATTGGAAGTAATATGACGGGACCCTCGGCAAGGCATGTTCCTGTTGCCCCATCTAGATCAGCGGCAAAAGTAGGCTTATGGAATCTTATGGAAGTTGTATTCCTTTTGCAGTTGTTTGTGTATTGTAACTTCTGTTGCTATTAGCAACCAACGGAAAGTGACCATGCAAATCTAGAGTGGCGTGGTGTCAGCTGCCAGGAGAAATCATGCAGGTCAGCAGTAAAGCCATCACTATCTCTGTCAGCTGACAGGAGAAATCATGCAAATCAGTAGTAAAGCCATCACTATCTCGACGGGAAGGCAACGACGAAGCTGAGGTCGTGCAGGGAGAAACTAATCCGTCCCTTGCATGCGGTGCAGACCTTGCATGGTAAGTTAGTAACATTGGCCCTTCAAAACCACCTTGTATGCATGCTGCCAACTCCAATGTTTGCTCGTATGAAGGTCATTCCCCTTGCTTATCTTGCTCACCATGCAACTTGAATCTGTTCTGCGCAGTGAGTATCCTATTCCTGTCCATGCAGGGTCATGTGATGTCCATTCATAGCATGATTGGTGCATTGCCAGCTGAGCTCGCTGCGAGTCTCCCGACAGCTGGCACTCGTACCTTAGGCGGGAACATGGAATCGTATGTGCAGTTTGAAACACAAATCTCCAAGTCCAGGTGTACCGCTGCATTTCTGTCATGTGGGTGTGTATAGAATCCCAAAACCTGTGCTGAGAGCGCAACAAACAACTCTCACACGAGCATGCAAAGTCTAGGCTTTGCCTTTTTCCTAACACGTAGACAGCTATACCAGGTCCTAACTTCAAGCAAAGGACGCGGGTGTGGCACAAAATTTGGGAGTGCTATTCAGCAGGAAGCTTATGCAGGGTTCTGCAGGATGTTGGTGCTGGACAGTGTGACTCAGAGCTGCGCAGGGTGCAGTTGTAATATACTGCTCATGGGTGTTGCTGAAAGGGGCTGCTTGAGTGGTGGCGCTGCGCAGGGTTGGACGGTGCGAGCGAGAGCTGTTGATGTTGCAAGGTGCTGTTGCTGTTCAGTGTGCTGCTGCGCAGGCTGCTGTTGAGGTTTGCGCTGAGGTTGTTTCCCTGTGACTTGTACACAAAATTCAGAGTCGCTGAATCACGTGTTTTGAAACTAAAATTGCCACTGTTGCTCTCTCGGGCCTGGAGGCACGCCGTGCTTCAGCAAACTCCCTGTGCGTATCATGTGGGACCATGAATTGCTCAAGTCTTGGCCATGCGGCCCAAGACCGTTCTCCTCCACCTGCAAGTCGACAACATAATGTCCTCAGCCACTTCGAGAGCAAACTCTAAGCTCCAACTCATGTTGAACTGGCCCAACGTGTTTGAAACCACCAAACAGGCGGTAACACATATATATATATATATAAGTTCAATTGAGGCTGTGTACATATATATATATATATATATACATACATATATATATATATATATATATACACATATATGCACACATATCCCTATGGATACATATGTGGTTATCTATATGTTTATATGCACATATACAAATATGTATATGTAACCACACGTGTATATCTCAACATACATACATATATATATATATATATTATATATATATATCTCACATCTATGAGTCAAGGCTCCGTTGCAGGTGTCATCGCCTAAGTCCTCGCACCGCGGCTTGCCAGGCCCATGGGCTTTCTTCTCCGCATGGACGCCCGAGCACTTCCTCGACGCCAATCTGAGAGCTGGATGGATTTCCGAACATGGACGTAGGAAACACGGGAAACCATGGGAAAGAATTCCTGTGATTTGCGGCTGGTTTAGAAACACATGATTGTTTACTTGGTTTACTTGCTATATGGTTATTTTAAGAAATCCTGGAGAAACCCTGGAAAAAAAAAGGAAAACAAACAGGTAGTTCGTGGTTGGTTTACAGCAATATGTTGGGCCGCCGTCGCGACGATGGGACACAATTCGTGTGGTTCAAACATCCTACAAGAAGAGCAAGCCTTCACCAACCACAAACCTAAACCAACGGAGCAACCAATTCTGTCCATATGCCTCAATAAACATCACCAGGTGTGGAAATCAAAGATTAAGCTCAACATGCTTTGCGGTTTAGCACCCAGCATTCAAACGCGCTTCATCTTCCAGCGAGTGATCTGGGTGAGTCACAATGATTCTGCGAAGATTGTCACAAGTGAGGTCTCAAATCCGGAGATATCCCTTGACCAATTTAGACTGGCAATGGTTGCCTTTCAATCACCACCTCTGAAAGTCGGGCAATACTGCCACAGGAAACCGATAGCAAACCAGCAAATCAAACAGCTGCCAAAACTGCTGGGGTCAAGGAGGTTTCCAGCTATCCCCATGCCGTCTCACAAGCCTCTTAGGAGCGCCGTACCAGCTGGCCGGATCCATCATATCAATAGGAGGCTTGCAAGTACAGGGGGTAGCTACGGGGGGACGGGGGGTTGACAAGTTCATGTTTTCCTTGACGAGGGAACACCAATATGGCCCTTATGGCCCATTGCTCAAGCCAAGTTGCAAGTAGCAAGTGGCAGTCGATCTGGCGACGTTGCGACAAGTGCAATGATAAGAGCTATGGGGCCTGTCATGAGGGGACCCGTTTTGATGGTGTTCCAAGCTAACCCAAGACAAATCTTGTCACTAGTCACCAAGTTTGAGATGTCGCCCTGCAAATGACAAGAAAAGGACGATGGCTTTCCACCACTTGACTGAAAACAATGCTACAACTTGCTGCATGCCAAATGTTGAATGACGACAAAAAATCCCCTTGCCATTTCTGCTGGCCTCAATGCTCGCAGGGTAAATTCTGCAGTGCGTGCTTTTGCTTGAATGCCTCTGTGCTTTCCTCGGACTATCTGCACTGTCGACAAGGGTTCCGCGAAGCTGCCACAAGGAGTTCCATAGTAATCCTCCCTTGTTTATGTTAAGAAACCTATGACCCATGTGACATAGAAGCAAGCAAGACTAGTGGCTAAACCTATGCTCGTTCAACAATGCTCCAAGAGCACTTGCATCATGGCTGTTTCCCGATGGCAGTGAAGATCCCCTGATAAAAGTTTAACTTTTAGTGGGTTAAATGGAACTCACAATCAAACCCTTCAAACCTGGACAGGTAAAGAACTGGACGGCTGGGAACCGCCAAGAACAGGGGAACTAGGACCCACGGTCGGTTGCCTAAGACTTGAGTCCTGATTTGACCAACGCTTCCCATTGCGAAGGACTGGACTCCCTGCCGATGCCGCGACCGCGACATCGTTTGCATTTCCAGCAGACATTTGGAGTTGTGCCAAAACAGGGGGAACGACAAATGTTGTGTTTTTCCTTTTGCATTCTCTTTACACTACCTCAAGAGGGGTACCCTGAAAAAACATGCATCCATATATTCAACTCAACTTTTAATCACCGAGTCATTTGAATGCTTCCAAGCAACCTTGGTCTAGGAGACAGCCCTCTCTTCTTTACATTAGATATAGCGCGCAAAGTATCCATCAATGACAAAACCCACCTGGTGGCTCGCATTGCTTTGCAGTGAGTTTCTTCTTCTCAAGGGCAACACATTTCTTGATCGTTGCCAGCCAAGTCAAGATGTTTGGCTGGTGGTGTCGTCTCTTCATGCAGTCAGAACAGTTCATCCAAGGCAACACACGCCATGCGGCGTTGTAAAGCCCTGCGCCCCTTGCATTCCCCCTCCCATTCCCCTCCTCCATTGAAAAACAAACAGCAACGCAGATCCGCCAAAGGTGTGAAACTTCCGCATTAATCCGTTTCTCGAAACACTGACCTTTGCGCAAGGAAGGCCTGGCCAAAAAAAAAACATCGGGCCATAAAAACACCCGCGGGTTTTTTTCGCGCCTGCAGGTGGTATTGTCCTGGGGGTGCGGGGCACAATTCTTGTAGCCTTCCTCGAGGCCGTTGATGGGGCACTTGTGGTAGGCCGCATTGCAGCCATCCACTTGGCTGCAGGGGTCGCTGCCATCCTGCCGGGAGGTTCCCGCGTCACATGGGCTCGTTCCTTTGGACTCCTGGTGTATTTTTGAAGGAGAAAACCTTTGGGTCATGGCGTCAAAGGATAATATGTAGCCAGCTGGGGCGACAGACTCTAAGCATAAACAGGGTTCCCCTGAATGGCGTGACATGGCATGACAAGCGGTGGGAGCGAAATCGATCTCTCATAGTTTGCATGCATAGTGGCAGGGCAGAACGTGTCCTGATATGCTTGGTAATCAGCCATTGTTCAAGCTTGGCAATGGCACAAGCAACCCCGATAAGCAAACAACACATAGCCGTCCACAACTACCTGCCAAGCTAGCATGTATAAGCAGCTTCTATAAGCATCTCAGAGATGAACAAGTGCGGCATCTTTACCACACACTTGGCCGCTGCCTACGCTGCAAGAGGGACCAAGGGATGGTTCAAATTCGGACGCAATGAATGAGTTCCTTCCAAGCGAAATCCAGCCTCAACCACCCCCACGTCATTTCTCTGGCCAGCCGAGCAGCACCACTAATTTGAGGTAGCAAACCTTCCCGCAAGAATCACGATAACAACCAATGTTCAAGCCTTCAATTGGTGCCCATCAGACGTTTCAGTCCCCTTGCCAGTCCCGAGACTGAACTACGTAACTGTTGAAACTTCTCCGGGTCCGCTTTGCTGCCGGTGCCCGAGGCGTTCTTTAAATGGCCGCGACCCTGCGGCGCGGCGTTTTCCGTCGCCACCTTGATGTTCGTTGTTCCTCAATTGACTGGCGTGAAACTGGCGACACCGCTTCGGCGGTCCTGAGGGCATTTCAGCTGAGACCCGCGGCAGGTGGCTGGCCCATAGTTGGCGTAGGGCACAGAGGACGCAGACCCAAAGTGACGCCTTGGCAACGCGCTAACGCCTCATTCCTATGTCTTGTCGACTTGTTGCCTTCGAATCTCAACCCAGGGTTGCGTAGGCATCATCATGCAGCCAATTCGCATGGCAGCTGTGTATCTATTCCAAACAGTGGCGCTTCCTCATTGAAACATATCTGCTCTACGCAAAACAATGCCCTTTCTATGCGTGTTCTAGAGTTGGACTGCCGTGCTGATTTTGTGGACTACGCTCGCATTAACGAAAACCACCTACCTTGTACACTTGTTTACAATATTTACCTCCAAGAAGTCATGATTCTCATAATGGCCCTTGTCATTTATATCTTGTTCTCTGTTTGCAAGCCTTTTACCGTCAATGATCCAGTTGATCCCATGGCTTCGCTTTCAAACGCTGACCATGCACCTTTTGCTGGCAAAAAGGGATCCAGAGGCCCTAGACATCCCTAGACACTCAACGAGGGCTGCAGAAATAGTTGGAATCATGTCTTAATGTCTTGTTTGTGTTCTCCCTCATGAACAAAGACGCGCGTGGAATTCCGTCCTCTCGCCTTTCCAAGGGTTTTGTCAAGGAAAGCTAAACGGAGCGCCACCATGCGCAGCTCAGGAGCTCAGCCACTTGATCCAGCCTGTGCCGTCTGAAAGGTAGCCTTTGGGTTTGGCTTAGGGGAAACCCAAGGAACAAGCACTCAACAAAACTTGGTTCACGTTGGAAGGGGAGCAATTTAAAATTTGGCAGTTAAGTGGTAGGATTTCCCACTAAACCACAATAAGCAACAATGTAAACCGCTTCCCAACAACCACCAACAAAAGGGCGTCCGCCGCTTTCCAGACTCGCAGATTTTGCGTCGTCAACTGGCCTGAGCGAATTGCTGGGATAACTCGGGATGAAACTTCGCCGACGGTGCGAAACGAACAACAAACAGCACATGCCAAGCACTGCGCCGAACGCCTTGCTTGGATGCTGAAACATACTATTGCAATCACAACAAGTGTACAGAAAACTCTCTGTCTCGGGACCTGACACGTGTCCAACAGGTATCCATGCTATTATCAGTCCCATAACCGGAAAGTATTTGTTGTCAATCGCTTTCAACAAGCGGTCCTAGCTGAAAATCACTGCGACTCTGAAATGGGACTTGGGTGAGGAGGAACCCGTTACTCACTAATGGCAGCTTGACAAAAGCAGCAAAGCAAATGTGGTCCCCTAACAGTCGCTGATACTGAACATTACTCCAAAGCCCACTCGAGACCAAAAGTTTGCTTCCAGCTTTTCTGACTCTTGGAGGACACTACCAACGGCCGGCCAAAAGGGCCTGGGCCCTCGCTTGAACATTTATCAGCTGCAGGTTGATTCCTTTCTTTCAAGCATAGGCTGCGTCGTTTTCTTGGGGACCCAGACAAACTTCGGTTTTCCTGTTCCCTTCACCTCTCAAGAAACACTCACTCTAAAAGCGAGACACCAAAAAGGGCTCTAGGGCGGTTGCCGCTCTCAACACTAGGCTGGAATTAGGACCCGAGCAAATATATATGTGTATATATATATATACATATATTTGCCCGCTGAAAGCAAAGGGACCCCACAAAAAGCAAAAGGGGAGCTAATTCTGGGGAAGAACACCTCCGGTTTCATCACGCTGTTCTGCCTCAGGCACTCTGGACGACCGGCGACCGGCGAACTGCGAACTGGGGCCCCGCCTGGCATCAGCCTGGCCGAACATGTGCACCGGAGCTACGTTTCAAGCGAAAAGACCCTCGTTTGGATCGCTACATTCAGCTTCTGCCCAAAAGGGTGGTTTGGATTGGCATGTTTTTTTGGTTTCAAGAGGAACGGCGGTCTTATTCTCCAAACCACTCCAACCACCAACGCAAAGGGTAGGGTGAAAGATTGTGCTTGTTGCCTGACGACAATTAGAAAAGGATCGCTCGGCTTGGAGATCGCAATGTTTCGAGTTCAGCATCAAGCAAATCAAAGCCAGACTGACGTCAAAGGCGAACGTCAAAGACGGATCAAACATAAGCTAGACACAACAACTCATCCAACGAAACACACAGTCAAATAGCTAAGCAATCAATTCAGCAGGCGAGTGCACAAGCAACAGGACACTTGCATGAAAACCTGAATGCGGCATCAGTTAACAATGGAGTCTTGTATGAACACAATTTCTAACAGCCGGCGTTGATGATATCAGCTTGATCATGACACCTGTGCAGTTGTGTCTACCAATGATCGCCTAGAGTGGCAGCCATGAACATAAAAATGCCTTTGGCTTCGATGTGAAAGGACACTTTTGTGTTTCTTCGATCTCACCATGTCAAGGTCCTCCAGTAGAGAGGTTCGATTAAGGGTACCCACTTTTTCGCTAGTCTGTTTTAGTAGGGTCCCGAACCCTCCCAACCCAAAAATGTTGGGCTAAGAAGGGCACTAATTGCTGGACCCAGTCATTCTCACCATGTGGGACCCCGAACCCCACCTTGCTGGAGCGCATGAGCTTGCGCCGGATGGCCAGCTCCCCATCTGCTGCCACCTGAGCGCTGGGATGAGATCGCACCGTGAAAGACCATGGAGACACGCCAACCCCGAAATGACTTGGAACGCTGAAAACCACGCAAAAAAGGGGCACGCCACCACACCCCAGAAGGCAAATTCTCTTTTGGGGGTTTGGAGGGTTTGTGGTGAAAGACAGATTCCCCAAGTCGCAAACCTCCGTGATTGAATCTGAGCTCCAGAAGATCCAGAGGCTTCTTCTCACTCTGTTGCGCTTTGCAAGAGGCCACCCCGCAACTGATCGGTTTCTTTTTGACTTGGGGAAGAAAAACAACCCCAGCGTCCAAGCCTCAACAGCAGAAATACCGCCAGATACTGCCAGGCGGCATGTGCAAAAGCTCCATGGTTGTGAGGATGCACGCTGCCAGCACTCCAGCTGTTCAAGGTTTCGGTGGAACCTGCGAAGCCAAGGCCGATCTTCTTCTTCCGGGCCACTGAACGCCACAAGAAACCCTCGGGCGCGTTGCTGCGCTCCCACAAATTCACCGAACCTCTGGCGAGACTTGGATCCCATTCCCCTCCCGAAGACCTCCGCTCGCAAATCGCTCGAAAAGCTGCAAGCGAGAAAACACTCCAGCTGCAAGATGTCCGGCTTATAAACGGTGTCCCCTTCCAAGCAGCGCGAGCTGTTGATGCTGCAAGCTACAAATTACAAAGGTCGCTGAATCTGCCTCACAAAATATCATCCGAGAACCAGTATCTTGTTTAAATTCAAGATATATATATATAGGTATGGAGAATATTCGCCTCGGCCCCTTGGGGCCAAGGGCGCTCAATCCTCGCGTTTGTGTGTCTTCAAAATTTAGCTAAATGGATCCACGCTGCGCGAAAATGTGATGATCCTGGCATACCCTGGCCTAGCCAGCCCAGCCCAAGTTTGTGTAACTCAGCCAGCCATGTCCAGTCCAGTCCAGCCAAGCCCCGGTCCTCTCTAGCCTCAAGTCCAGTCCAGCCCAGCCCAGTGCCAATTTGGTCTTTCCAATAGCTGTCCCTTGACAAGGGGCGAGTGTCAGACCAGTCCGATCAGGCCTGTCTTGAGCCTGGCCAGAGCCCAGCCCAAACCCATCTCAGCTCCAGCTCAGAAATCGCCACTTCACCAGCTCTGTCGCTTGCTTGCGAGCCAGAGATGTTGCATGCTGGGCTGAGGCCGGCAACGAGAAGCGTTTATAGTTAGATAGATTGTATTCAAATTTATGTAGTGACAATGTAGTGTGTGTCCTCAACGAATCCGTAGTATCCAAGTATTATTATGTTCAGTTGTTGTGTCAACCTCTGTTTCAATCTATCGCAAATCCAGCGCTTGTGGAGGATGTAAATTTGACATGGGCGTGCTTTCAAAGGGCACCCTTTTGGGAGGTGTTGAAGTAAGTCCACACTGAGGCTCACGGCCGATCACTGTCTCATTCTCAGTCCTGCCTCTCAAGAAGAAGAGGAAAAAGACCTGGGCAGGATCTATCTGATTCGTTTGTCTCGGAACTCGGAGTGATCCCGTTCACCCATGAAGACAGCCATGAAACCACGACTATCGCGGTGTTGCCTTGTCATGGAAGCAACCGCAATGTGCTCATCTGTAATGTTATCAACGTCTGCTGGACCGGTTTGTTGGATTGCCTCACACGCTGCCTATTAGCGCGCAAGGAGGAAGCGCACAGCAGCTACCAGCAGCAGCAAAGAACTGTTGTTGTAAGGAAGAGACGCAAAACAAATTCAGATGACAGAAAACAGTGGGGCTATCACTAAAAAATAAACATCGCAACAACAAAGCTGATCAAAGAAGTCGAAAACGATGAGCTCGAAGCTGGCCATGTACAGGTATGCGTCACAAAAAGTCGTTGGTTGCGAAACCCAAGCCTTCATGCGAATATTGCTTCGTGCACAGGGGGCCTGGCCGTTTATTTTGCACGGACATTGGGAAGCTATGCATCTGGCCACTCCATTTACACCATGAAAGCAAGATGACAGAAGTCCCTTCAGCGGGCAGACTTAACTGGGCTGCCCTGAGATCCCCTGCTAGATGCTTAACTTTTAGTGGGTTAAATCCCCACTGAAGACAAAAACAAGCTAAACAGCTAAGGGGATGGCTGGGAGCCACCAAGTTAACCATGGGTTGAATTTTTGCCGTCTACTTTTCCCCAACTCTACCTTCCGACACCTCTTGCGACAGTGATGCTATATCTGAATACTGCGGAATACACCAAAACAAAAGCACGTTGAACACACTTATATGTCATACACATTCAAACTCATGCATCGTATGAGGCAACTACCGATAGTTGCGCGCAGCGCACGCGCATAAGCCCGTTTACGTTTTGTTTGTTTCTTCTTGTTCGACAGTGCACACATCAATCAACTGCCCATCCAAATGACACCAACACTGCCTTCCCAATGGATGGCTCCCAAACCTTTGTCAGGTGCCTTGACATCTTTACCCGGTGGGTTAGGACCATTTTGCGGAAACAAGTACAACTTGTGCGCACCGTCTGAGGCTGCTCAGCTGGCGGCAACGTGACGTTTACGGCGTTGTTATGTCTAGCTTGTTTTTTCCCCCAGATGTTTGATTTATAAGGTTGAGATTATTGTTTAACATTGGAGCCACGATGGGTTCTAATTGGTAGCTTAAGTGCCATGGCTATGTGTGTATGTGTATTATGCATGCTGCCGATAGGTTCAACCCGGCTTGTAAACAGGATCCCTGTCTGGTGCCATAGTGGCTACCCCACATTGAAATACCCTAACATCAACAAGCATTGCGCATTCTCCGGAGCATTGCTCCAGACAAAACAGTAACAAACGCAGCTTGTGCCTGGATTGCTGCCGAGGCGCAGTACAGCCATGGAACATACTGATTGGCCAAGGCCAGTTGTGTTAACCTTGGCTGACTGAGGAACCGCCGGGTAAGCCATGGCGGACACCCATTGAACACAAAGGATGGTTTCACCACACCACACAAGGCACAAGGTTTGGGGCGGGACAGTCCCCCATAAAGCCTGCAAGTTCAAAAAAGTCTCAGCATCGCGATGTGACTCCATAGGCTGCATCTTGAAATTTTAGCAAGCGAGGGGATCTCACTTGAGTGGACTGTAACGCAAAAGGTCCAAACTTCTGGGTTGCGCCAGGATCTCAGGGAGTGGATTCCAGAAGGGGTAAGTTTGTGCCTTTGCCTGGACGTCGGAAGTCAGCTTATCAATTTGGGCAGTCAAACACTTTCTCGGCTAGTCCATCCATCAGCGGCACACTTTAGTCAGCCTCCCCTTGGTGATTGGGACAGGGGGTCAGAGCCCCAAACGTCCAATCCAAGCCACGAATTAAGGGTGACGTGAATTAGCAGCCCCGCCAGGCACATCCTGGCACCCCAGTGACATCTTGAAGTGACAGCCCAACCTCTGACGGTGTCGCACGCTAACTATCCAAGACTCACTTGCCGACAAGGACCTGAAACTAAAAGGATACTCTGTTAGCACGTTGACTAAATATGAACCCCGGGAGAACCACAAGGTCCACCGGTCGATCACTTTGGGCAGCTCCCAGCCAAGGCCAAGCCGAGGCCAAGCTGCCAAACAAAGGGACCATGAACCCCGGCGGCCAAGGCATATGCCCATGGCTTCGGGTCTGAGCAGAAACGCCAGCATCCGGAGCCGTTGAGCAAGCATAGCAAGCATGGGAAGCTCACAGAAAAACTGTGCCTCAACCTTGGTTGACGTTGGAAGGGGAGCAAACATTCAAATTTTAGCAGATAAGTGGGGATTTCAACCACTAAACCACAATAAGCAAAAATGCAAAATGTTTCCCAGTTTGTGCTTCGACTGTACTCACGAGCAACAACACCAAAACCAAGACGGCGCCTTTGTGGCCTCGGTAAAACCCCTTCTGAGCCTTATCCAATGCCAGAACCGAAAAATGGGCCAGCCTTCACAGGCAAAATCAAGTCTGTGCGCTGGGTTTGCCGTATTTTGCTGCACCTTCAAGGTAAGATGTCACCTAGGAATGCCAAAGAAGTGCAGGAAACATGTCTTATTTCAATATTAGTGTGGTTAAATAAAATTGCCAATAGTAAACAGATCCTCTGTATGCAAAGTTTCAACTTCGTGCCACCATATTCATTGACAAACAGCCATAATACTCGTCAACGCAGGGCTTTCGAACAAGCAGCCCATCAACACAGCCACGTAGATGCATGGCCTTGTGTTGACCAAAGGCCACCTGATCAACAAAGCATACTTGTGCCAACACATGGCTGGATGAATTGAAGCAACTGGAGCCTGAAAGCCTGTATCAACCAAGTTCACACACCGATCTCCAGTGGATCGCAGGAGACCAGGGATTTGTTCTTCGGTGTATTGCGGAGGTGGTTACTGCTTGGGCTGGCTTTCAAATAGGGGTCTGTGTGGGAAGGTTCGGCGGATAGGGAGCCTTCAGTGAAACGTATGAAAACAGGAAGCCTTTGATTAGCGCCTCGCTGGGGAGGGCTCGGAGGCCGGGAAGCGCAACTCAAATGGTATTCTGAGTTCAGGTGAAGACATACCGATCCGTTGCCTTTCTGGAAAGTTGAATATGACTACAAAGCACCCCAGAAATCCTTCGACCCGACTCACCTCCTGCCATGATGGGCGACTTCCGGATGACGCTGCCATCATCCGGGGACGGCTGCGGCCTCTGCCTGGCATTCAGTGATATGAGTCACAGTCAATATCAGGGCTGGAAAAAGATCGATCTGCCTGTCCGGCAATAAAATCAGCATGTGACAATCCAGGTTGATGAATTGAGTTGGTTGGACCCTTTGGAGGACAAAGACCCAGGGTTCTCCCACCACTCAGGCTCCAAAGTTCTCAGGCAAAAATGTGTTTGGGTGTGTCCTTTTCTTCCAGGGTCCCCCCTTTGCTTGTGGTTTTGAAGGGCAGCCCAAATCCCTTAGGTCCGACCCCTCAAAAAAAAAACGAGCCAGCCATTTCGTGTTTCCGCTCTCAAGCGTCGGAGGGCTGCCCGAGCGTCCATGAGAAGCTCAGCCTCGGGGTTTTCAAGGCGTCAAGTCGCGGATGAAGGGGAAGCCCAACCGCAACGTAGGGAACGAATCCATCCGTGGGTTAAATTCTGGGTGAAAAGGATGCGTCATTGATGTGTCCTTTTCTTTGGGTGATTTTTTGCATTGGGAAGAGTAAAGGCCACTACCAGGAAGATTCTGAAGGGACCTTCTGATCAAGGGGTTCTGGGAACCTTTCCGGTGGCTTAGGCAGGTCCTCAGGTTCTACTGAAAATGACAAACAAACAAACACGCTTCTTGGCTAGTTCTTTAAGTCAAACGCGCGATGCGTTCAAAATCAAGCTCGGTTGCGACTCCTTCAACCCTAAGAGCAGGGAACTTGACGCAGCCGGCTGGTTTGACAGGAAGCTGAGCAACACTTCCAGCGCTGGGCTTTCCGATAAACCCGTACATGGGCCAGGTTAGTTTTTTAGCACGGATGCTTGGGCCACCTTCAACGGCGACAGGTGTCTAGCCTTGAACCGTAGATGCCACTTTTATGTTTCCTCTATCTGACAAGGGGGTGGTTTCCTCTAGGCTTCCCTTCAAAACACCTATGACTCTTCACTGAACCCTGAGAGACCCAACAAAAACCTGAGCTTCGGGCACGCCAAGTCCAGAGCCACCCTGGTACTCGAAGGTATCGAAGTTGATGCCTGGAAAGGGCTCAAAGAAGCGGCCAAAAGGCTGGGGGGGTTGAAGTTCATCCAAGGATTCCGTCACTTCGGCCGAATCTGTGAAACTGGATTTCGTCTTGGCGTCGCTTGACAAAAGGAACAAGAAAGTTGGGCGTGTGCAACCCTTGCGAATGCGCCCAACATCGGTTCGGGTCGCGTGGCTTTTGACCCGTAACACTCCTTGAGAAGCCACGCTGCAGAAAGTGCTCAATACTGAGAGCATCACAGTCGTGTCATGCATGTTTATCAGATGCAACTCATCTCAGTGGTTGTTTGGCTAAGCACTACCCATGGACACCTCTAGGATACATGTCACCCGTCTGTTTGCTGAACCGTCGACTCAGGTGCTTTGACAAACACATTCCGCTGCTCCCCCCGCTGGGCTCCGGCACTGCGGATGGAATCAACTGCTCTGCACAAAGCATACTAGCTGTCAATTAAGCATTGGTGTGTTCACCCTTGCCAAGCCGCCTCTCTTTTTGCTGTCACTCATTGGGTTGCCTCCATTTGCTTAAGTTTCCAGAAACAAAACATATTTCCAGTAGTTTCCCTTTAATTGCCAGCAGGGAAAAATATCAAACACCTTAAGCAAATTCTGGAAGGCTGCTATTCAGCCTATTCGTTCAGCAATTACCTAGCCCCGGTCGTTGCAAGCGGCGAGTTGGTGGCTTAAGGACAGCGCCCAGGATGTTCGGCACCACCACATGCCTCGCGATCGCGTCGACTCCGATTTTTGCGCGTTCCGACTTTCTTCTCCATCTACACTCCCACCCAAAAAAAGGTACCTGAGTTAAACAAACGCCCCCTGCATGAATGAAAAAAAAAAAAAAGACAACTGGGGAATTCCACGATTGTCTGCTGTAGATAGTAACAGAGGCCGACTCTGCAGCGATTCAAATAAATCTTAAATATGGGGACGCCCCAAAAATAGTGCCTTTCCTCTTTTTCTCCCTGTAAAGCCAACCAAAAGGGGGTGCCCCTTTAAAACAAAGAGACGCACCCAGATCGAGACACAAGATGAGATCTCCCTTAGGCGCCTCCATGACTCCTATCCAGTGATAGGCTAGGTCCTCCAGTAGAGAGGTTAGAATAAGGATACCCGTTTTTCTGTAGTCGATGTTAGTAGGCGAACCCTCCCCCAAAAAGGGCAAAAGGGCACCACTGGGAGACTGGGGGACCTAGTAGGGAAAGACAAAGGCCCCACCCCAGCAAAATACGCAAAAACCGAACAACTCCTCGGCATCCGCAGCATACATTGACATGAAAAGCCGCGAGGCCCTGCAACGCAAAGGTAGGGATCTGACTCCTGAGATCTCATGAAGACATTGCCGAACAGTGCTGTCACGCGACATCAACCCAAGGAGTAGCCAGTCATGAACAGGGACTGTTGGTTCCTCTCAGGGGACATCTGCATTTCCTGATGGTGTTGTTTGTTCAAGCACGCCTCTTGTCCTCACGAATCCTTGCGAGAAGAGGTTGTATCCATCCAGGAGACGCCTAGCGCGGGGCCGCTGATGCGTTCACACACGCACGCACACGCACACGCACGCACACGCACACGCACACGCACACGCACACGCACACGCACACGCACACCCACACGCACACCCCCACGCACCCACGCACACGCACACGCACACGCACACGCACACGCACACGCACACACGCACACACGCACACACGCACACACGCACACACGCACACACGCACACACGCACACACGCACACACGCACACACGCACACACGCACACACACACGCACACACACCACACCGCACACACACACGCACACACACGCACACACGCACACACGCACACACGCACACACGCACACACGCACACACGCACACACGCACACACGCACACACGCACACACCCACACACACACACACACGCACACGCACACGCACACGCACACGCACACGCACACGCACACGCACACGCACACGCACACGCACACACGCACACCAACGCATCCACTGCAACACTGTGTTGGTCAGGCAGTGGAGTCGGTGTTGGTGGGTCCTCCCCACAGATTCCGCAGGTAAGACGGTAAAACCGCTTTACCGTTTCCCCCCGACCAGTAAAGCGGCAAAACTAAAGGAGAAGACCCAAAGGTATGGCTCGTGACTTGAAGTGTGCAAAAAGCCCTGGGTCTTTGCTGTTTCTCCCAGCAACTGTTAGCTTTTGTTGTGGGTAATCGTCTGCCCGCAGTGCTTGTGACAGCGCCCACATTTCAGCACAAGCGCAGTACCCGAAGTATGCTTTCGCAGCTCCAGTTCAAAGTCAACTTCTGAATACAATAATTCAGTACGCGAAGAGTCGACGAGCGTTTTTGCTGCTCAATCTCAAAACTTGCAACTCTTCAATACAAACATAGTACACAAACCACACTCTATCAGTCCCGGCTCGGAAATTGCAATTCTTCAGTCGAATGTCGCGCATAGGTACACTTTTTAGTGCAAAAGGGAAACCTAAGGAAAACCACTCATTTCGAGGATTGCCCTAAACCTTTAAGCCGACTTTTCCGCCCCAGCAAAACGTCAATCGGAAAAAAGGTAGAACTCTAGCGAAAAACCTGCGATGGTTCGCTTCAACCCCGCGAACCAAATCCGCCTGGCTGCAGCGATTCTCTTTTTCTCCGCCCGTCCATCAATAGCTCCGCACTCAGCTGGAGGACAGCTGCATAATGGCCTGGCGAAACGCCAGCGCTCTGCCTAGCACAGCATAGGCTCCAGCATCTCCCGTGCAGTCTACAAAGGAAAGAGTGCCAAGGTCTTTAGGTGCATGCATATATAATATCTTGCTGTCAGCATGTACAGGTATGCACATATTACGGTTGTGTGCATGTATACATGTACGCCACAGTGTCACACACCATGCATAAGCGCAGAACATCAAATCATTGTCATAAACAACACAATCTGTGCATACGTTGCTTGTTGTACTACACCAGACTGGAACATCAGACAGCTGCCCCTTGCTAACCTTCACCTCCCCAGATTTCGATTGTGGCGCATCTGAGCTTCATTGCTCAACGGCAACCGACCCAATAGCACACACTTGTATCACTTGTGAAATCAACATCCTTGACGCGCATTCACCTTCTACCTACGGCTGTAACCAACACACTCTTCCAGCTCCTCCACGATGTCGCCCTTGTGCTCGCCTGAGCAGAAACTGCTCACATACGAAGTTAGACTCCACAGCGGCTGCGTGAATCTGGACACACCTCTCAACATGCTCCTAGCAACTTTGTTCTCACGTCAGGCCCCGTTGTCAGCTTGCGTTCGCGGTCGTGTCTCATGGAATTTGAGGGTCCTCCAAAGATATGGAGATATACACGCTTGCCTAAAGGGTCATCAAATGTACAATTGGGAGTTATGGGGTGATTGCCTTGAGAGCAACCAAGCTTGGCTTCCAGAATAAGAGCGAATGCCATCTTACTCACCCATTGAATGGTCTTCCAAGCAAGTAACCAAACAAGATGATGGTGAGCCATGAAAATTCAAGCAGAAAGAACGAACAGACCCTCCAAAAAGGAACCATCACTAAAATTGAAATCAAAGCCTTTGCAATGTCGCGGCTCAACTTGCAAATTCACATGGAGCGCCAAAAGACGGTTGTTTTGCTTGTTGGAATCTCCCTGGTGGAGAATCCAGCCCCCCAAAAGGAGCAACCTCATGTTGATTTGCAGGGAAGAAGTGCTGCGGCTGGTTGACGTGGCCTGGAAAATGACTTTCAAATTCTGCGCCCCTGTTTGGTTTCCTTTCGGGGATGGTTCAACCTGAAAAAACAAGTTACAGGGCTGTAGCGTATTTTTTTCACGCTGAGGCTCGCGCGCAAAGCCTCCACGGCCTTTGCCCTTGAGCAGTTCACCTGATCAGCAAGTGGACAAGCAACTGCATGGCTCAATGTGTCTGAATCATAATCGGATTTGACCACGTTGGTGGACATGCTTTTTCCGAGGGGATTTGAGCAAGCATGATCGAAGGTGTTGCAACGGTGAAACTTCATCGCTCAATGGCTCCGCCTTGGTTGGCATGTCCTTTCTAGATGGAAGCCATTGTGGTTTGTCTGGTTTTGGCGCACATTGGCCACGTGGGGCTTGGTTTCCACATCGTCCACGTGATCTCTGAGACAAGCCGTGATCCAATCCCCGAGGTGCCCAAAAGAACATGATTTTTTGTTTGCATGAGCAAGAAACGCGCAAACATCGTCTCGGCTAAAATACCTTATGGCCTTATGAATCGAAGCCACTCCTTTGAGTTGGCATCACCGCTTTTGCAAGGACCGCTCAACCAGCTGGAGATCGACCCACGGCCACAATGTTCAACTGGCCCCTCACGGCCTCAAACAGTTCTTGACCTCAAAGGCACTTGGTGTAAGTGGCACCTTGGAAGAGTGGTTTGTGTGGTACGCGCTGTGCATTCGTGTCAGGTCGGTGGACGAAACTCAACGTGGCAGGTTTCACCGAGCTCAAAACATACGAGTGCATCTGGTGACAGGTCGGTGTTCCTTGCGTGATAAGGGTATTTTTCTTGATAGTGCCCTTTTTGGATGATAAAGGAAAGCCAAGGGAAACCCGTCTGGTTTCCCATACGTAGGCAAAATCTACCAACTTTCCATCGCACCAAACGCAGTTGATCGCAGGTCTGGGGCCTGGTTGGTCACCAGCTCGATGTCTTTCGGCTCAATGCCCTCCTCGTCGACCTCGCCAGGCTCATCATCCTGAAGGCAAGCTCCAGCATCTCGCGGCCACAGCAGTTGCGTCAGCCGCAGAGACGGCAGCACCAAGAAGGACAACGATTACGACAGTCATTGCACAAATATGAAGACCACGTGCATATCAAAGAACACAGACACAAAGACATACATTAACATCTTCACATCTGCCGGACTGAGCACAACCCAACGCACCGGCACCGTCCTGGACTTCCTCCACCTTGGGCTTCATCTCCTGTGCTCTGACAATGCCAAACCGGACTTCTGCCCTCGGATCCCCCGCTAAAAGTTTGACATTTAGTGGGTTAAATGGAAACCACCACTAAACACTAAAAGGCTAACAAGCCAAGGAACCGGATGGCTGGGAGCCACCAAGAAACAGGACTTCTGCGTGCTCCATGGAAACACTTCAGTGGGAAAAATGAAGTTGCCAACGTCCTTGACACCAGGGGACATCTCCCCTTCCAAAGAAATCACTGGGAAGCCTTCCGGTGGTAAAGAAGTGGAAAGGCAATTCCAAGCCTGCGCAAGGTCGCTGCAACTGGAGACACAGGTGGCAGCCGTTTAAAGGGTCCCGAAAACACAGGAACATTAGATATCTGCTTAAATCGAGCTCCACACGTGATATGTGTATATATGTGTAAAGGTTCCATAATCACAATTTCAACCCAAACACCGACTGGGAAATCAATGACAGGCTTCTCAAATCTGGAATAGCTGAACAGAGACCCAGGCAAGGACCCTTTGGTGGAAATTCCATACATGTGTTTGGTTACATCAAAAATCGCCAAACATATTTGGAGGATATCTGACAGAATTAAGCTTCATGCCGAAACAACTGCAATAATATCGAAACAGTTCACGACAAGTATGCTACGCGCCACTGCGAGCCAGACTGTATGAAGGGGATGTTGACACATACCTAACGCGTGCAAAGTGAAGCGAAGCAACTTTCAAACCGTCGAGGTTTCTCCGGGGGGTGGGGGAAGGGCCCTAGAGCTCCAGTCCACGATAGCCCCAACTCGTTTTGTCAGAAACCGCCTTCCAACATGCGCCCAAACACGAATATGACGCCTGTTTTATTCGTGACAAAGACTGCGTTCGAAAAGACAAACAGGGGTAAAATCAAGGCCCCATGTTGCGTGGCAAAGACCTTCCAACCCCTCCTTTGGAGATGTCAACAGATTGGGGAGCCCCAAGCTTCTGGTTTTCCTTTTGGTTTCCCTACCCAAGGTCAAACGAGTATCCTGAAAAATAAAGAAACACCGGCACCTTCTCTCCACAATGGACCTGAGCCAGATCCTCCAGTAGAGAGGTTAGAATAAGGGCACCAACTTTCTTCTGTAGTCTAATTTTAGTAGGGGAACCCTCTCAACCAAAAAAAACAGTCGGTAGAGAAGGGCACCATTCGCTGGACCTAACTGGGGTGCTCTCTCGGCTCCTTGGGAGGCTCCATGCCCGCGAACTGCTGCGCCGCAGTGGCCTGGGCCTGAGCGCTCAGATCCTCCACCTGGCCGAGAGGATCTGCGCGCTGAGGCAGGCTGCGGCGCTGAGGGCGCGAGGCAGGGGCCCCTGGTTGACGTTGGCAGGGGAGGAAAACAAAAACATATTTTGGCAGTCTGGGTTGCTTTCTGCTCCCCTGCTAACAGTTTTTAACCTTTAGTGGTTTAATGGAAAACCTGTTAGTTCGCAAAAAGTCAAAGTCCTAACAGCCAAGCAAAATGCACTAAGTGGTTGGATTTCAACCACTAAACCACAATAGGCAAAGATGTAACACGTTTCCCAACAACCATGAAGCCATTGGCTATTAAAACAAGCAACATGCCAACAACCATGAAGCCCTTAGCGGAGCTGCTTTTTTTTTGCATTAGGTTCTGCGGCCAGCTCCAGCTGCAGATGCTGATTTTTGCAGTGAGAAGCCGTTGCTTCCTAGTGACCAAGCGGGGCTGAGAACTGGCCATGTTACTCTGGCTCGCCTCGCTTCTCTGATCCAAAACTAGACATGTGGTTGGTTTCCTGTGGGCTGCTCCCCAACAACTTCGAAAGGGCTCCCTGATTTGAGGCAGATTCAGGGCTGCCATTTGAGCCCAAACGGGAGACAAAGGACCCCCTCTCTTGGAGTGAAATGACCGATGAGGCTGGCAAAAGAAATGGTGCCCTGCAAAAGCCAACTGCTTCATCCCAATCTGTGCACAATGTGGTTTTGGTTGAGCTCTGTTTGCTTTGGTGCTGACAAAACCTCTGGCAAAGCAGCACAACGTTGGCCAGGTATCCAACCTTACATTGCAGGCTTCACAGTCCAAATATGTCAGCATGCAGTGTCTATTGCTAGGCTGTAAACATAGGACTCCACAAGGACGGCTATTTACACCCAGCCCATTGGCAATCCAAAAGGTTTAGTCGAGGGAATCAGTCTTCTCTCAATCCGCGTTCCAAAACCAAGCAGACAACGCGCCTTCGCCTCGCCGAAGACGATGTAGGTGTCGGAGCTCTGTGCCTTGTGCACGTCTGGCTTGGAGATCACGAAGAGGATGTTCTTGCCTCGCATGCTTCGCGTGCAAGATGTGCAAAAGCCCGGTCAGCCCCCGGTGAACATCCCAATCCCCACTAAATAGACTAAAATGGGTCGTGCACCTACAAGTGGGAGGAGCAGAAGCCCTACAAGTGGGAGGACAAGCAGGCTGCCCCATGGAAGAGAAAGCAGTAGGAGTGGCTCGAGCAGCCTTCCAAGAAGCATCGGGATTCCCATTGGCCAGAGCAAGAGGGTGCAAGATGATCCAGTTTGTGAAAGCTCCAGTCCTGCAAACTTCAACGGTCGAAAGCCTTGAGCAACGTCTTTTTGTTTTTGGAGCGGGTTTCACAAACTGAGTCCCACGGGAACTCGTTGCCAACTTTGTACTTGCCGCTACTAGCGACCCGTGCCGGCTTGTTGAGATTCTCTCGAAACCGGAGTCACGACTCATTCACGATCCCTTGGTTTGTGGCATCAGGGTGACTCCCTTTAAGCTTCTTATAGCTTCCCTTTGGTTTCCCTTTGTTCTTTCAAACAGCCCCCAAACAAATCGGCGCCCACGAAAGTAACTCATTCGCTGGCTTCCAAAAAAAATCGCCAAAACAATGGAACAAACAGCTACTTGTATCCTCCCGGCCCTTGGGTTCCCAACGAAAAACAACAACAGCTTCTCGCCACCCAACAAACGCGGCACGGCGTTTTCTTTTTTTTCCCCTGCTTTGCGAGGCGCTCTTCTTGACGGTCACCCGCATGATCCCCGGCACCGGCTTCATGCCGAGCTTCTGCACTGCCTCCCATTCCGATCGATCCCGGCTGGCTGCACCATGGGCTCTCCGGCTCTCTCTGCGTCCCAGACTCGAAACGGTTCGGATTGGTGGCCTTTTGGTGGATTCACCCCGAAAGGAACATTAAAAAAGGTGCAACAAACATTGTTGGAAACAAGGAGCAAGCGGGCAGGAGAAGCTCACCTTTATCTGAGAGTAATGAGGGTAAATCCCACAGATACGGCCCCCGAAGTCTGGCACGGTTAATCCCATTGGCTTCTGAATTGAAGCCTGAAATGGCATCTCCTTCTGAACAAAAAAAACAATTAAAACAGGTGGTATCCCCAACAGCAACCCGCTGTTAACGTTTCCGGAACCTCAGAGCCGCTCCGAACTGCCAAAGCTTTCAGCAAATGGGTGTCGAGATGTGTCGAGCGTGGTTCCCAGACCCGTGCCCATGGGAAAAAAAGGGGGGCACTTTCTTTTTGATAGTAGTGTTTTAAACAGGGGTCACTGGATTTCCGCCCCATTGATACTGCCACTTCTGGAGGTTCCAAAAAGGGAAATGGAGGAAACACTGGTAAAAGACAAACCCTCCCAAGAAAAAGGCGCTGGATGTTTTAGGATATCCTGTTCAGGTAAGGAAGAAGGGAAACCAACAGGGCACAGAAGATTTCGCGGCACCGAGCTCGAGCCCCGCTCCGCCTTGCGGCTCTTCTTCTCAGATCGGTTTTGCTTCACCCTGAGCGAGCTGAACGCGGCCGGGGCAAGGATTCCCATGATGCCAAAAGCCCAAGAGCCCGTAATTCTTGTTTGACTCTTTGCTCCGTTTCCATATGGACTCCAAAGAGTATTGATGGTCATTTTGTCAATGGTTTGGTTCAAGTAAGTGTGAGAACTGGACTAACAAATATGCCAAAGATGAAAGCCAGCTGCCAGCTGTTCGATGGCTGCGGCCTGAAGTCCAGTCGGCCTTGGCCCAATGGGCCTCGATTCTTACAACAGTAGACTCCATTGGCATCAGAATGCCACGGGTCCGGGACCTCGAAGAAAAAAACAACAAAAAAAACGAGTTCCCTGGAATTGCAGTGCCCTGGGGACAGTGCACTGAGTCTGACTTCTAGATTCTAGCTCCAAATCTGTCTCTAAGAAATTCAGGGTGCCACGAAGCACGGTTGGGACATTGTCACACCAGCAACTCCTACAAAGCTGTCACCTACGCATCTTATGCCCTGCACATGAGCTGACGGACAAAAGCTCAATAAGTCTTAAAGGTGACAGTAACTCCACGGGTAGGGGACTTTTGCATCAACATCAGAACAAAACGCCTCTCTCGCCTTTCACATGTCTGCCGGGCTGACTTGTCTGATTCCTGCGCCCTACATGAGCTGAAGCCGCTTCCGCGGTTGGTTGGACTACAAGAGACAGAGAGAGAGAGAGAAGAAGAAGCCCACTCTCCAGGAAACAACAGCTGAGGATAGCAGCTGAAACACCCAGAAAAGATACAGGAAGGAACAAAAATGTCAGGAAGGACGGAGAATGACAAGTAGGTCTAGAACCAAAGGAACGAAAGAAGAGGACCGACAAGCACGACCATGTCACAAGTGACAATGATGCCAAGAATGTCAGCAGGGGGTGCAGAGACAACTAAAGGATACCAAACAATCGCACAAGCCCACACATTACAAATACAATGGCCACACCCGCCTCTCAGCGGTGGCAGCATCAGCGCCCTGACATGAGTCCGTGTAGCCCGGGCACCCACGAATGAAAGCAAACGCAACTTGTAGCGCTTTCCGAATGGGAGCCCCTGTTCCAAATCAGGCGAATGCCTCTTTTCGTGACAAACGTGAAGCGGATCTGGCGCAATGCAACCATACGCTCTGCTAGTCGGACTTGGCCCAAACCACAGCATCACTTGGTTCGGGCTGGCTGGAACAAACAGCAAAGTTCAGTCATCTTGTTGATTCGCCCCTTCGTCTAAGTACGTAACAGTTGCGGTCAGCCTCGTTGCTCATAGTTCAGCCATGCCACTGTCGCAATTATCACGTCAGGCTCACGCTTCACGCATCCAAGAAGGCTTTTTAGCATCCCACAACACATCAGGAAATAATTGAGAGATTCAACATACACGAATCCTCGCTACCCGCACACACACACACACAAACACTCACATGAACTAGCCCGAGCCCCAACATGCGGTTGCTGCTTCAAGCGTCCCGCAAAACAGCTGGACCTGTGCAGAACACTTCGAAAGTAACCGGGCTGCTCAATAGCAAGCTGTGGTCCCAAAGAAGACCGGAGATCTGCCAAAATCAACTTGCCAATGCACAGCATTCCGAAATGGATGACCCATGTGACCTTGCATACGCGCACAAACACACACAGCCCTCCCTCTCTTTGATGCCCCGGCTCTCGCCCCCGAAAGGGTCTATCTTAGAACTGCGATCTCACCTCCCCCGCCCTGCCCCCGTGGAGAAATGCTCAATGTTGGCAAGACTTCAAAGGTGGACCAACATAACAACTTACCGCGCAGAAACGCACTCATGACTCACTCTTGACTCAAAACAACTTCCTCTGACAAGTGGAAGCACCCTTGGCCCAAGGCAGCACATTTTTTCCATACCATTCCCATCCGACCCGTCCTCGAGGTTCGGCATCTCCTCATCAGAGCCGCTGTCATCAGCCTCGTCCTTGATCTCAGGCTCATCCTCATTCCGCCACGGGCGGGAAATGGCATGAAGTTTGGGATGTTTCTCCACCAACCGGTGAGGGTGTTACCGTTTTGAACTGTCAATGCCAACTGCCAGGTAACGAAGTATTCAAGGGCAGAAACCATGCTGTGCGATTCAACAGTCCCTAGATACGTGCTTTCTTATTCAACGGAAAGTCTGCGAGTTGTGAGTCATGAAATTGTTCCTTTTGTCTTCCCACTGCAAAAGGCAAGGATCCCATCAGTCTCCGTATGCCGATATAGACTAGACGATCAAGCACAGTCTTGCATGGGGGGACCAAGGAGAAACACCACAAATGTCAAACTGAAGAGAACTTCTTGTACCAGGGCACTGAAATGGTGCCGTGCGCAATCCCTGTCAGAATTCTTGACCGGGATGAAATGGGTCTTCAATAGAATAGGACAACCATCTCCCATGTGAACGCAAGGCTCCTCCTTCACGAGCCAAGAACTCAATTTAGCTAAGGCACATCTGCAGCGTCACGAAATATGGTTGGGACGAACCAGTGCTGAAAAACCCGTTGCTTTTGGGGGGGGATCCGCCATTCCGAGCATCAGCCCGAATTCCTCGTCTCAGCACCTAGGAGTTGTTTGTTTCCCGTGCCTGGGTCTTGGCCATGACGCGCGCTCACACGGGCTCGTTCCGGACGGACGGTTGGAGAAGCTACCGCTGGAGCCGGAAAAAAACACTGGTTTTTGGCGCCAGGGTGCGTCATCCGGCTTCTGCGGATACGCTCGTCATGGCAAGGTGCGCCATCCTTGCAGATACCAATGCCAGCAACTCACAGGACACTTCTCAGTTGCCTTCTGCTCCCCTGCTAAAAGCTTAACTTTTATTGGTTCAATGGAAAACCCATTAGTTGGCGAACAGTTAAAGTCCTAACATCCAAGCAAAATGCAACAAAGAGTTAGCATGTATTTGTGCACGACTCTACCGCATCAAGTCGCATCACCCTGAAGTATTTCTTGACTCAATTTGCGCCTTGAGATGCCAGTGATTCAGCCAAATCGATTGATTTTCCGAGGCAATGAACAATTCTTCATGGGGGAACAAACACATCTCAATCGACCTTGCTGGCCGTGCTCATTCCTGAAAATCCGGGAGAGATATGTATATTGTTTTCAATCAGAGAGCCCTCAATACAAAACTCAGAGCCCTCAAACCGGTTTGGTCACCGGTCTGTTTTTGGTTTCGCTTTCAAGGCCGCGAAACACACCCATGTCCGTCGCTCGCCTCAATGTGGCTGTCCAGAAACACGACCACCTCTGCACGCGCTCGCCATGCGCCTTCCATGCGCGCGAGCCTCGGAGGCGCCAGGCTGGTGGCGGAAGGGAGGGGTTCAAAACTGAAGCGCCGGGCTACGCAGGTTTTGGTCTTGTTTCCCACGTAGGGGCCATTTTAAATGTTGGGGTAGCGCCACCGGATTCAATAGTTCTAGAAGACCAGAAGGGAGGGTTACAAATAGGAGAACTGGCCGCAAGACGTGACTCACGCCACATTTGCCTTCTTCGGTGTTTTTCCTCTGACGTCGCCAAACACCACGGTCTCTTTGGGCCAAGACTTCCAGTGGCGGGGGGGGTTGGGCGCTGCATCGTCGACTCTGCACTCGGCACGGGAAACTGACCTCGGAGCAAGGCATCAGGCCGCGCCGCTCTCCCAAGCGAACCAAATGCACCTCGCGAAAGCGCGCGGCTTCGTCTTTGCCCGAAATTGAGTTGTCAAAGGTGCGAAGAACTGCGGGGCAGGGTCCCCCAGACTTAAAGCAGGGTACGGCATGATCTTTCTTGATATGCCTCTGGGCTCGTTTCACCTGGGCTTCAGGGAGTTCCCTTTTGAGAACCACTTTCAGCAGCTGCAAGGGTCGATCCAATGCAAGGGCGAGACCCCATGTCCTCCTGCCTGCGAAGCTTGGATCGAACCCGACATGTTCAGCCGCTTCCTTGTTTGCCGAAACATTCTCAGCCCAGGGAATTTGGATTGCCAACTTCTCATTGATTCAGTGGGTGGTGTCTCGTGTGGGATGGAACCTTCGAGTTTTGGCGAAACACCACCAGAAGTCCGCCCGGCTGATCCCGCAACTCAAGCAGTTTCTTCCACGAGTTGTGGGCCAGTTGGTGCTGCCTTTTTGCGCTCTTGAAGTCTTGTTGATACTCTCCCAACCTCAGACCTTTCTGTTCTAACACGTGGAAAGTACTTCGACTCCTGGTCAGCCGCAGCATCCGGATTCACACTCCATTCGATTCAAAGTGCAAAGGGCTCAGAATCCAACAGGGGAGAGAGGTGTTGTAAATTCCAAGCTCAAAATCTGGGCATGGGTCAAGATGAATTCACCAGGGGACCGTAGGTTTTTAGTATTTGGTTCCATTTACCGGGGTTCCATTTTGGCTACGCATTTTTGACCCACAGCCATCTGAATTCCCGGATGCCCATGGCCTTTGGCAGCTGCTGCACATAGTCGACCAGCTCCTGCTGGAGCCTCTGCCAGCGCTCCTGAGACAAGATCCATGGGCTGCCCGCGATCAGCGCTGGCACAAGCAGCACACTGCGCTGAAGGCAACGCTTCTGAGCTGCAGAGGTCTAATTGAATTCCAAGAACGTCATCGGGAAGGCTTCCAGGAAAGCTGAACAAATCGCCCCATCTCCAGCTCCCAAATGTGGTCCCCCTCGCGCCGGTTTACAGGAAGCTCGACCAGCAGACCCTCTTGGAAACCAACACAAGGAAACTCGTTGTTTGTGGTCACATGACCATTCATTTGTTCTGCTGCGGGACTTTTCCTGAAAGCTGGCCACCTACAAACAACTTGCCGTGTCTCTTTCTTGAGGCTCCGTAACCTTTTGCGGGTGTATTCGGAAGCCAACAGGAAGCCGTTGAGACAGATTCTGCCCGCTCCTCCGGGAAGCGTCCGGGATCAGGTAAGGAGGCATCATCCACGAGGATCACTTCCAGCCTAAGCAGTTCAGCCAGGCTGACTGGTGGGAAAGCAACCGGACACCAGGGCTCGGTCACACAGGTGCTGGGGTTACGCAGGTTGCAGTCTTTGATTCCATATCTATGATATATATATATATATAGAAAACACATATATATATATAATACAAAGGTGACATTTGGGGGGAGCATTTGTTGAGTCACAGCCACATTTGAGACTTCCCGAAGGCCGCCTCAAAGGATTCTTTGGGGACACCTGAAAAAGCAACCAGTTGAGACCAATGAGAGATGCTCACGAGCGGACTGGGTTTCCCAAACAGTTGTTAAAGTCCGGGAACGCAGGGAGTGAGCATAGATGACGCCTATAGGGTATAATTCGTTGCAAGGCTATGTGCTATGCTTAGGGTGTAAGCAGTGTAAGCTGTGCTTTTCGGCATGGACCATGACTCGCTTTGTCCCCGCCGAAAAGGGTGCCCCTTCGTTCTCCTGCACTCAAAGGGAAGGCTGCTAAATGAATACGTCCCCATCCGGGTGAATTATCATAATTCCGGGTCCCCTCTGGCCGAGGTGCTTTTTGCCAAGGATTTACCCACGCGCGAATTGGTTCGACGTGCTGATCCGTCTCCTTGGGTCACTCCGCGATCACAAGAATCACCGGAATACGCCAAACAGAGGGCCTCCTTGAAAGGGAGTTGCACCCAAAAATGCTCAAGCCTTGTGATCCTCTTCGGTAGACCCCTTCAGTGAAATCACAGCTGGTACCTGGGTGTTTCTCCTTTTTATCTTGCTTTGTTTTTGTTTTTTGCGGGCAGAGTGCTTTTCGGGGTTCGTGTTTGAAGCGCAACCGAAGCTTCTCCCCCCCGGGTGGTCACCGTATGTTAGACACGCCTTGTAGCCCAAGTTGCTTGGGATCATCTCAGCTCCGGCTCTCCAGGGTCCCGGGCAGAAGCTCAGGCGGAGATTGGTTTAGAACCTGGATCTGGATCCCATCCCCCCGTGGAAACCTCGCCGCTTTCACGGCTCCGATGTCAGCCGTTTCACATGGAACCGGGTCCAAAACCCGCCCAATTTGGTAGCATCGGGATTAGCTTCTCATGGAGCCCTTTTGGGCAAGCCTTCCACAGACCCTCCAAAGACCCCAACCCCGGAAAGCAGGCTGAGGTCCCTGAGATCGGACCCGGTGCAAATCCATCAAGTTTACCTCTCTCATTTCGAATTCACGGGAGGCCCTTGTACTGAAGCAATATCCGAAGCAAACGTATTTGATGGAATAGCATCCCGTCGTCTGCACGTAGGCTGCCTTCCCAGCTTAATGCTCTTGAAATGTGACAGCTTCTCAAGCCCCCTTGGAATATTGCAGTTGAAATATCATCATCTCTACTATTCTTGCACCCTGGAAATGAGTCGATGTTCTTTCCTTCCACGTCAAATGCAGAGCTTGTCAGATGCGGAGCATTGAGCCCCCTGCCGAGTGAACTGAACGAAGCAGCGCAGAGGCTATCTGCGGGCATTCACTTTTATGGCGAGAAAGGTTCAGCGAAACAAATTGCAATCAACCGGTACCAAACAATCGCGGCTAATTCACTATTGCAAACCACCTGGCCTGTAGAGCCACAACGCACATATCTGCTGCCATCCCCTTGCATATCTGATACGGGTACAATAACTGCGGAACAATAGATCGGTCCTGTGGATGTGTGGCCAGGGGGTCCATCCCAGAAAAACAAACACACACACACACACACACATTTCAATTTGACAAGAATGCTGCGAGCCTAGACCAAAGAACCGAAGCCTCGTTGTGAAAGACGATCACCACTGAGGCTTGCGGCAGGTCCTTCCTTGCAATCGGCCCTAGGCCTTTCCGTGGACCCAAACCATGACCCAAACCATGAACAGTCCCAAAGGAATCAGCGACACCCGCAATCATCACACACACAAGCACGCGCAGCAAGTGGTTTTGTGTCGGAACGTCGCTGCCGCAGTAATTTGGCTATGAACTTCACTGAGGACAAATCCCCACACGTCCACCACAGGTCCCCTATCAGCTTCTGAAAAGGGTGTTCTTTCCGTTTACTTTAACACCGTCCAACAAGGCCGCCCCGCCTATTTAGACTCACCATTTCGAGCTTCGGGACACCTATTGCAGGCCCCGAGCCTGATCTGTTTTGCTCAAGGCTTAGCATGAGAAAGAAAAAACAAACGCAACCCTGAGTCTTTGAAAGACAAGAAAAGAATCGCAAGAATCCTGATCAGGCTCTCAAATTTTGACACTGGATCCTGAAAGCAACACTGAGTCTTTGACACCCGCCTCTTTTTTGCTTAAGGGTTAGCATGAGAAAATCCATTAAAAAACAAAACAAAACACTGAGTCTTTGAAAGCCGCCAAGAAGAAAAAAACGCAGAGGGTTTACCATTTTTTCTATGGCTCCCGGCGGGTACGCCCGATGCCGCAGCTTGCAAGGCTCTGGCCTGGCAGCCAGAGACGCGGCTGCGACATGGATCCGGATGTGCCGATGAGCATCGCACCAGGCCCAAGCCCCAAAAAGTCCAAGCCTTTTTTTTTACCAGGTCCTCCAGATTTAAGAGCTTAGAATAAGTTGGTACCCCAGGTCTTCTTTTTGTTTGTCTATTTTAGTAGGGGAACCCTCCCAACCAAAAAAGGGGTGAGAAAGGGCACCTAGCTGGGGGACCTAGTTTACTACTAAAGTGGTCTTCCCAAGGAAAAAGTAGTAGTCCAGGAACTCG